CTATTCCTCGAGTTTCATATTTATTTCTATTGCATTTAAAAAATTCTTCTGAAAAATGTAATGGGACAAGTCCGAGTTTATATTTGAGCATGAATATCAAATTTTGGTAAATGTTAATTTTGTAGACATTTAGTGCATTTAGAAGCTTTAGCAAAGGTTCGGCATGAGTAAATTTATCTTTATTAAATACTATTCTTGCAGCATGTTTTTGTTGTCGATAAAGTGCCACTAGGTTGGATCTATGGGTACTTGCCCATGCTATATTACCATACGTATAATAGGTTTGAATGAAGGAGAAATAAAGTAGCTTTAAATTTTTTTGGGGTAGCATCGGTCTAGCTTTGTAAAGCATGCAAATGTTGTTTCTTATTTTGGTATTTAATAAGTTTATGTGAGTTTTCCATGAAATATTCTCATCGATAAGTATTCCTAAAAATTTTGTTGCTTTGGTTCTTTCGATAAATTTATTTTCTATTTTTAGAGACGGTAATGGAATTGGTATAGATTTTTTCCTTTGATTGGTGTGAAATAGAATGTAGTTGGTTTTTTCTGTACTCAATGATAATTTGTTAGATTTAAACCAAGTATTAAGTTTTTCAAGTTCAATACCTGCAGTTTCGAAGAGTTCTGCGATAGAAGTAGATGAATAAAATAAGTTTGTATCATCTGCAAACATTATGGCATCAAGTTTTTTTGAGACTTTTGGAAGATCATTGATGTATAGCAAGAAGAGTAGGGGAGCTAGAATGGAACCTTGGGGAACTCCGCATTTTATTTTAAGTAATTTTGAATGGGTATTTTTATCCATAATAACACATTGCTGTCTGTTTATAAGAAAGCTCTCAAACCAATGTAAAGCAACATTTTTAATGCCATATTTTTCCATTTTTTTAAGTAGTATAGCATGATCAACAGTATCGAATGCTTTCGATAGATCAATAAAGATTCCCAGAACAAATCTGTTATTATCAAAAGAGTCATTTATTTTATTTACAAGATCTATAATTGCATGTTCGGTTGAATGTTGTTTTTGAAATCCGAATTGTTTTTTATTCAAAATATTGTTAATAGTTAGGTATTTATATAGTTTATTGTAAACTATTCGTTCTAGAAGTTTAGAAAAGACAGAAAGGATTGAGATGGGTCTGTAGTTATTAAGTGAGCATTGCTCTCCGGATTTAAATATTGGTACAACTTTTGCAATTTTTAATTTGTCTGGAACAGTTCCTGTTGTAATTGAAGATTTAAAAATTTCGAATATGGGTTTGCGTATCACCGGGAAGACACTTATTACTACGTTGCTAGAAATCTCATCAATCCCTGGTGCTTTGTTAATTTTTAGAGAATTTTTTGCAGCTTCGAGTTCATCATAGTCTAGTCCATTGAATTTTAGTTCGCTTTGTTGATTTGTCAGATAGGTTTCAAAATAGGTATTTGGGCATTGAATTTTGGACGCCATGTTAGGGCCGATGTTTGCAAAGAAACTGTTGAAATGTTCGGCTATAGAACTTTTATCGTTGTATTCTTTTTCATCCACAACAATTCTATCAGGTAAGGTATTTGTTTTGGTATTTTTTTTCCCGATTATTTCTTTCATGATGTTCCATGATTTTTTAATATCGCCATTGGTATTTTGAAGTAGTTTTGAGTAGTATATTTTTTTAGAGTTTTTCCTTATTTTTTCAAAGAGATTTTTGTATTGCTTGTAGATAGATAAGTTGACTTCATTTCTGTTTTTTAAATATTTTATGTAGAGTTTTTGTTTTGTTTTAGAGGATTTTTTAATTTTACTAGTAATCCATGGACAGTTCAAATATTTTTCTTTAACTATTTTTTCTTCGATCGGGAAATAACTATTATAATGATTAAAAAAAATATCGATAAATGTATTATATGCGGAGTTTGTGTCCTCAAGGTTGCATTTTTTATATACTTCATCCCAATTCACTATTGATAGTGTGTCTTTAAATTTTTGAATAGAAATTTTATTAGTTTTTCTTATATAAATTTTGGTTTTAGAATTGTTGTTTATTCTTGTATCTTGATTTATAGAAAAGTAAATTGGGAAGTGATCCGAAATATCGGTTTTAACTATACCTGTTTTTAAAGAGGAATCTTGAAATGCATTTGTCAAGATGTTATCTATTGCGGAAATTGAATTCGGGGTTATTCGCGTAGGTTTGTTGATAATCGGAAAGATACAATGTTGAAACATGTTGTCAAAAAAAAGTTTGGTGGTCGCATTCTTTTTGTATTTTAAACAATCTATATTTAAATCACCTATGCAGAATAGTTTTTTTTGTTCTCTATTAATTTTAAGAAAGATATCTTCCAAGTAGCTTGAAAGTTTTTTTATATCTCCTTCAGGTGGTCTATAGCAGGTAGAAACTAAGATATTTTTAGTTTTGGAGTTAGTGATTTCTATTGTAAGTACCTCACAACTGGAATCAGAAATCGAAAGGTCTTTTCTTGCTTTTATTGCTTGGTCATTCCGAATATATGTTGCAATCCCTCCCCCCCTTTTGTCTGCTTTCCTTTTAGAAGATAATAATTTATAATATGGAATTTGAAAGTTAGAATTTTTTTGAATTGATTCATCAGAGCACCAAGTTTCTGTCAGACAAATCATACTGAATGAGTAATTGCAATCGGTTAAGAAATGTTTTAATTTATCAAAATTTTTATTTATACTTCTTATATTTATGTGTATTGCCATAAAGTTATTTTTAAAAGTTTGGAGTTCAGTTTTAAAATTTTTAATGTTGAAATAAGGCGAATCAAAGTTATTAACTTGAAAGATTTGCGTATCAACGTCACAAAAATCATTGAGTATGTTATTTGCGGTTTCGAAGACATTAAAACGCAGCGATTCAAAATCTATTGTTTTGTAAGTCATTAAGTTAAGAAGCAAAATTTAAATGCGCGTTCGTTTAAAAAAGAGTTTAAGTAAAAGAGAACGCGGCGCTACTTTTTGAAATCTCGACTAAATATTTTATCGTATTTTAAAATAGCGTATTTACCTTCGCTGCGTAGTTTTTTTTACTTCTTCCCAAAGCTTTCTTCGGAGTTCAGTTGTTTCTGGAGCGAAGTCTTCATTAACGTATAGGCCGGTTCCTTTAAGGTGCTTTACTGCGTTGAGAATTTTGTTTTTGTCCTGAAAATTTAAGAGTTTTAAGACTATTGTTCTTGGTTTGTTATGCTTGTGTTGACCGATACGATGAGCTCGTTCAATCACCACTTCACTTGTTATTTTAAGTTGTTTTTTAATCATTACTTTTACTGCTTTTTCGCAATCATCCCAATTCTCTCCTGGTGTTTCGTGTAGTCCGTCTATTCTTAAGTTGTTTCGTCTCGATCGATTTTCCAAATCTACTGTTTTTTTGTTTAATATATTTACTTCATTGTCATAGTATTTTTTTATGTGTGATAATTTTTCTGATATTTTATCTTCTTGAAAATTAAGGCTGTCTTTAATGTCATTGATATCTTTTTCAAAATTCGATATTTTCCTTTTATTGTTGTTATTGTCTTTTTCTATAACGTCTAACCTATCGGTTATAATTTTAAGGTTTGCACTCATTATTGAGGTGAAAGTTTTTTCCTGCTCCTTTAGCAAACGTTCTGTTTCTTTAAGTATGCTTTTTTTATGTTCTTCAAGTTTTGATGAAATCATTTTTTCAATGCTCTTCATTGTTATTTCCATTTTTAACATAAAGTTAGAACTTTTTACGCTGCGACTAAAAAACACGTCCGCATACCACGCCGCTTTCCAATCGATTTATATCGCTAAATTTTGCAAAATATAGATTTTGATTTGAATCTCTAGACCGGAAACTTTTAAATAAATCTTGTATCATTATTTTATTTAAGTTTACAGAGTTTTTTAAAAATGAAATGTTATCTAAATATTCATCTTTAAGCCACTTACTGTCTGTCAAATGAAACTTACAACACCGACTATCAATAGGTATATTATTTAATGAAAACATCGATTATCCCTTTATTTTTTATTTTAATAAATGGAGTCGAACCGAATTCACATTTACAAATAAAACAGAAACGATGTGAATTTGAAGCTCTATCGGTTTCTATACTTTTGTTATTTTTCTTTTCGATTTATTGCAATAATCATAATTATCGTTGTCATCAATATACTCGTACTCTTCAGAATACTTATCAGTACTCCTAAAATTCAAATCATTATAGTTTTCAAGAATAATATTAGGATTTGACTCATCATTAGAATTATCTTTAACAGATAGAAATAACATTTATATTTCTACCTTTTGTATCAAGCAAAAAAACCGGCTTTGTTCAAAGATTTTAATTGCTTGTAACAAATTATCTATAAGATTTATTCCATCGAGTTTAAAATGATGAACAATTTTATTTATCATATTTTTATTTTTAATTTCAAAAACATTTTTTGAACCAATACAATCACCTTTCCTTTGACAAGCACAACAATATCTATTTCTAAAATTATTTAATACCATTTTGTAATATTATTATCTATTTTTTTTTAGTTTTGAGTAACTATAGTAAAAATCTTTAAATGATTTAATTTATATGAAACAAAAAATAAAAATTGCAAACCAATTTTATCTAAGAAATATTAAAATGAAATAAAAAACCAAAAACTGTTTTATTATTTATCATTTAAACTCAATTAAAATAACACTTCATAAATAAAATTTTGGATAAAATTTAAAAATTATTATTTTAAGAACTAATAAGTTTTATTATTTAATATTTCAACTTTTAATATGTTAGTAAATGTAGTTTATAAATATATTAAAATAATTATTTCATATACCATATTTAGCAATATTATTAAGTTTTTTTGAATGATGTTTTATTTGAGTAAAGAAAATTTCTTTATTCATCTTTGAATAGCAATATCTAATTCTTGCTTCAAGCTCTTTCGAGTTCTCAAAAGTTTTTAATTGGTCTTGCTTCAAGAATGTTAGCTGGGTTTATATCTTTGGGTACAACTTTGATTTTTTTTAATTTTAAAAAGTCGATGACCGACTTTGTGTAATGTGATCGAGCTAGATCAGGCCAGAAGATAAACTCATTGTCTTTTTTATAATATTCTGATAATAGAGGAAGTAAAGTTTTTTCTAGTATCTCTTTATAAGTGTACTGATTGATTGCCTGATTAGTGTGATGAATATAAAGAGGTCTTTTTCCACGGGGCTGATGCAACAAGAAACAAAGAGCTTGTCCTCGTACTTTTTACGCAAATTGTATCTTACTTTGTCAGAACATTGAGAAGGATCAGCGGCATAAAACCTATCATTACCAGCTAATGTACTATTTTAAGGTAAAATAGTTTTATCATAAGGTAAAATAGCTTTCATCATCCATAACAAAATCCAAGTTTTTATAATTTTCGTACAGTTTACAACATTTAGGACGCATAGCTTTCCTCTGCTGATGGCTACAATCTGGACGATTTGTTTTTTTAAAAGTTCGAATGTTAGTCATTGTTTTTAATACGTGGGAATTTCGTGTTTGACAACAGTTAAAAACTTGAGCTACTTTCTTTTGGGAGCACCCTGACTTATTTTCAAAAAATGCAGCAACCTTTGGAATATTTTCTTTAGTAGTTACCTTAGCGATTCGACCACTTACAACTTTTCTTTTTAAAAATGTTGGAAGTCATTCTCCAATTTTACGATTTTATCGTAAGCAATTGATCTGGGTAAACCCCGCTCCACAAACTGCTTAGCAACAAACACTTTACTTTTTTTTCGATATTTTTGGGAAAAAATTTCCATCATTTTTTCGCGGTCCTCTCCTTTGACCATTTTATTTTCAATATTTAAATAATTTTTTTAACTTAATTAAATTTAATTTAAATAAATTAAAAATCCTCTTTCTAATAAGTATAGAGGTTTTTTTGTGCGCATGAAATAAATTACCTAATAAATGCAATTAAAATTTGTCCAAAATTTTATTTTTAGGGTGTTAATTGCCGGTTAAATAATTTTTTGCTCTAACTTCTTTTATATCGTTTTAAATGTGAAATTTAACCATACAAGATCGATTCTATCCTCTACAACTGCATTTTAAGAAGTTAAATAATCAGTAAATAAAATATAAAGAACTAAAAAAAGCTTTAACTTACTAGTAAATTACATAGAGTATACTCTTTGTAAGGTTTTTAAATAAGAAACCTATATACACGCACATATTGAAAAAAGAGACAGTATATTTAATTTTGTATCAGAGCTTTAGTTTTTTAAATTTTGTTGAATTGATTGTTTTTTCATTTTTATTTTGAAAAATTGATACGTCAAATCAACATATTTGCAATATTTGCAAATATGTTGTTTTTTTTTTATTTTTTTTGAAGGGGGAGGGGGGCTTTTAGTTATTTTTAAGTTGTAAAAAGTAATTTTCTATCATCCTTTGGCGTAGTAATGTGTTTTAGACGGAAAAAAAGAAAAGGGGTTGAAAATACTTCAATGGAGTCCAACGACGTCGCATGTAAGTTAGACTTATTTATTACTTATTTATTTATCACTTACTTATTCTTAAAAGAGATAAAAAGTTTTAGTATTATTATGCATTGTTTGTCATTAAACCTTTTTTCTTTAGAGTCCGGAAACTGGCCACTCAACGACAATGTTTTAACTGGATATTTAAAATTTAATCTAAATAACCGCATTCAAATAAAGTAACAATTTCATTTAACGATAATAAATTTTCAAAGATTACTAGAGTAAAGAAAATTTAAGTACAAAGACTTGAAATGAGAGTTTATGGAGATCAACTAAATTGGGAAGAGACTCAATAGTTTTGCCAAAAGTATCTTTTAGAGAACGGATTTTAATTTTTATTTTTAGCTGTTTATGAATATATTTGTATACAAGTTTTGAATTGTTTGGAATCTTTGATACTGTCTTTTTATGCTTTAATTTCATCTCTTTGTTAAGCTTCATTTTCTTGAAACATTTCAGTTTTAGCAAAAATATTTTTCATTTCATTTCAAGCGAAAAGATTTAATCCAAAATAATTAATATAAAATAATTAATCCAAAACGCCATTTTAAATTAAAACATTACTAGTTTTAGATTAACCATTGTATTTATTCTTTTGAATCTATACACCCCTGTATACAACAGTACACCTCTGCTATTTCCTTAATCAAAATCATTTTTATGTTCATTATTTTTTTTTTCAATTGAAAAAGAAATAATTGATAAACAAAAAACATGCTTAAGTTTTTTGCCACACGTGCTTAAAATCGATAACAAAATTTTATGCAATCCAATGTTGAAATTGGTCCAACCCTATCCGATAAAATTCCAATTACCAAAATTTCTTTTTATGATTATTTAGCACCTCTTGATAAAGACATTTGCTCTGATGAACTATCGTCCGAATTATCCTTCGAAGAGTTTGAGAAAGCTTTTAAAACCTTAAAAAAAATAAAGCAACTGGACCTGATAAAATAAACGGAAATATAGTTATAGATTGCTATGAACAAATTAAAAATATTCTTTTTAAAATCTTCAAAGCATCCATTCATCAAGGAATTTTCCCTGAGCGCTTAAAAATTGCTAAAACTATTCCAATTCATAAAGAAGGCGACAGATAATATCAATAGTTATCGCCGAGACAACAGGCGACAGATAATATCAATAGTTATTGCCGAGACAACAGGCGACAGATAATATCAATAGTTATCGCCGAGACAACAGGCGACAGATAATATCAATAGTTATCTCCGAGACAACAGGCGACAGATAGTATCAATAGTTATCTCCCTATAAATAGTTATCTCCCTATCAATAGTTATCTCCCTATCTCTATGCAATTTATATTCTCCAAAATCCTAGAAATAATTAAGTTTAACAGAGTTAATAATTATTTTAATTTTAATAACCTACTATACAACAATCAATTCAATTTCAAAAAAGATAGTTCAAAAGCTATTTAACAAAGCAAGTAGTCTATAGTAATAATGGCGTTTAAAGTGAATTCTTAAATATAACCTGTGGTGTTCCACAAGGTTCTATTCTTGGACCGCTGCTATTTCTTATCTATGTCAATGATCTAAACAAAGCCTCCAATCTGATGAGTATTATTTATGCAGATGACACCAACTTATTTCTATCCAACACTGAGTTTACAAACTTTTCTCAAAAACTAATAATAAACTTATAAACATTTTAAAATGGTTTAAATGTAATAAGTTAACGTTAAATACTAACAAGACTAAAGGGATTCTTTTTCATTCTTTCTTAAAAAAAACGTTCTTTACCAGATATAATGCCTCAAATTTATATTGATGAAACTCTAATAAAAAGAGATTCTGTTATAATATTCCTAGGTGTTTATCTTGATGAGAATATTACTTGGAAAAACCATAATAATCATGTAACCACCAAGGTATCTAAAAATATTGGCATTTTGTATAAAGTCCCACCTTACTTAAGCAAAAAAAGCCTTACACAGCTCTATTGCTCATTCAAACACAGCTATATAAACTACGCAAATATTGCATGGGGTAGAACAGAAAAAAGTAAACTACAACGTCTATATCGCCAACAGAAACGTGCGATTCGCGTAATTAACTATGTGGATCGCTCTTCACATTCAAAGTCTTTCTTTGATGAAATGAAAATACTAAATGCCTACAAACATAACGTCTTTAATATTTTATGTTTTACTTATATGTGGAAAAACAATTTATCCCTACCTGTTTTTAACAACTTTTTTTCATTAAAACATACTAATAAGTACTCACTAAGAAATAAAGGTTTGCTAAATGAACCATTTTGTAGAACAAAATTTAATATATTTTGTATTAATTGTCGAGTACCTTACCTTTGGAATAAAATAGTTCTGTCTAACTTTGATCATTTTATCCGTTTTTCTGTTTTTAAAAATAAGTTAAAAAATTTTATTCTTGCTTCGGATGACATTTTAAGTTACTATTAATTTGAAATATAAACTTGATTTATGAGATTTATAGTAATATTATATGAATAGATTTATTTGCTTTAATTTATAACAAATCTATAAAATTTATTATTATGGATTTTTAGAACAGATTTGTGAGAATTATTATTACAGATACGTGATTATTATTATTAAGAGCTTATTATTATATATTTATTATTTCGGCCGATTTTTGGATTTATATTTTCAGTTTTTATAGTATGATAAAATTGTAAAGGTTCTGATGATAAGATCACTTGATCTTCTTTCAGAAGCCATGTTTTCTTTGTTCTTGTAAAATATAGTATTTATTTTACGGCAAATGTAAACAGAAAAAAAAAAAAATGAAAAATAAAATAGAATAAAAAAACAAAAATAATATATAACTAAACATGATGTTTTTTATCATTTAAATATATATATATATATATATATATATATATATATATATATATATATATATATATATATATATATATATATATATATATATATATATATATATGTATATATACACACACATATATATATATATATATATATATATATATATATATATATATATATGTATATATATATATATATATATATATATATATATATATATATATATATATATATATATATATATATATATATATATATATATATATGTATATATATATATATATATATATATATATATATATATATATATATATATATATATATATGTATATATATATATATACATATATATATATATATATATATATATATATATATATATATATATATATATATATATATATATATATAAATTCTGATTTTTAAATTATTATTGCATAAAGTAAAAGCATGATTTTAGTATATCTTATGGAATATAAAAATGTCTTACGGAAACGTAGCTGAAAACTAATGAAATAATTTCTAATTTTAAATAAGTAATCACATATTCGTTCACCAATTAACTCACGTCTAACTCATGTTAATGATAGTATAAGTATTATTGCCCACAAATATATTAACTTTTTTACAATTATCTTAATAATAATGAGCCAGATTGCAAGTTTTTATGCATTATGGTTTTAGCTAATTTTAATTTAATTGGTGATTATTTTATTATAATTTATTTTACCTGATTTCAATTGCCGGGCGTTAAAGAGAAAATGCAATAATTAAATAAAGCGACCCAAATATTATAACAATATTTTTTTTAGGAAAAAAACTGGTAATTAAACAATTTAAAAAATAATCTAAACGGTTCATAGTAGAAAAACAATTCAATTTTAAATATTACTTTTCTAAAAAGCGTATTAAACTAATAAACCAGAAAAAATATCAGCACTTCATACTTATCTTCTTTTTGGTTTTTATTTATTTTATAATTAAAATAAATAAATAAAATAAAAAATATAAAAATCTTAAACTACTATTTTGTATCTAATTCATTTTTCATTTATAATGATTTTATTTTATCTTAATTACAATTTTACATTTATAATGATTGCATTTTATCAATATTGCATTTTATCTTTTTTGTTCGTAATATTAACTGGCGGCGACAATGTCGGGATTACAAAATATTATTGTTGATTTTTTATATTTTTCAGGTTTACCTTAATTGTTGTATTTTTTAAATGATTATTTAGATTGCCTCAGTAAATGTAAAAGTAAAATTTAACTAGTTTTTGTTCATGTTACTGTATTTAAAAAAAAAAAATCTAATTAAGTTGTGCTGTCATACGTTAATTACAAACAAGATAGTTACAAATAATTATATTGTAGACAAAAGTTTTTTTTTTTTTCTTCTTCTTCCACTATAAAATAAAAATAAGTTTTAAAATCCTTTCTCTATAATAAAAAAATGTTGTATCTCGTTTATGTTTAATAATAAATCATTAAAAAATGTTTTTTATCCTATTTAATAAACCAAACCTATTGTTGTTATAATTATAATATAAATGCCATTTTAATGCTAATTTTGTCAATTTTATATTGAAGTAACAAAAAATATTTTTTCAGGTCTTTTAACTGATCAAGTCAGAAAATTACATATGAGCAGTAAAACATGTAAAGCTTGGAAAATATGGAGATATTTCAATGGAAATTATTTTTATTTTTTGGTAGCTTTTTGATTACGTATTTGATTTTAATACGAGAATTATCGTTTAAAAACAGTTACAAAATACCAAATTATTACCATTTCTTTAGCCGAGGTTTAAATAATACATTCAACACATATCGAAACATTGAATTAACAGGTAAATATAAATAAATTGTTAAATTTATTTTAACTCTATTTTTTAAATTTGAGATAAAAAAGATAATACGCATTAAAAAAGTATGTTTCTATATGAGACTCAAACTTGTCAAGCTATTCGCATTTTAAAGTGAAATTCATTTGCTTTTTTTTATTTAAGTTGATGATTTCTTTTATTTTTTCACATTTTTCCGTTAAACCCTGCAATAAGCTATGCCCTCGTTAATATTAAAACAGCAGTCATTATCACCAGCAATAAAATAAACTTGTATTCTTAGGTCTCCGTTTGGTTAAAGGGAAGAGAAAATTTAGTTATTGGAAGACTGTTAACGCCAAAATCTAACCCCGCCAAACCCTGCAAGTAAAACTGCTATCGGAGTTTTAACTGTAGGGAATAGCAGCATACTAATTTTCTACTACATTAAAAAAAATAAAAGATGGTATCCAATCAAAACAAGCGTAAACAAAACAGTTTACTTTTGTCGCAAATAAGTTCTAATATATACGATATCAAGTTTATATGATTTATCATTTAATTGTTTAAAAATTTATGTCTATTATTTATACATTAAGATTTTAAAATAAATGTTATTATAAAATAAAATATTTTATAATAACATTTTTTTCAAATAAATAGTGATTGCATTATAATAAAATGCTAAAAAGTTATTTCCATTTGATTATAATACAAATTTCATAAAGCTTTCAGAAATAATAATGCTTTCAAATAAAAATGAATTGCCTAAAATTTACATACAAAAAACAACAATTTTTATCTAAAAATTGAAAAGGCTGCTTTTTATGACATTTTGTTTGCAATATATAAATATTTTTTTGATGTTTCAGTAGAAAAATTATGAATGTGTTATCAAGGGTCATGGTAGATGACCTTTTTCAAAACTTAAATAAAACCAATGACTTTCAGTTACTTTCAAACCATTACTCAACTGTTTTTTATATTGGAAACTGGAGATACCAAAAATTTACCAAAAAGTTTACACCCTATTGTACAACCTTGAGTAAACGTGGCGCAGTGGTAGCGCAATTACCTCAGAAACAAAGGATCCGTGGTTCAAATCCCACCTCTGGGCAATTTAGCGACATTCGTTAGGAATCCGCGGTGCCCTGTGATAAGGCCGTAAAGACTTTTTGGGAAATCTAAATAGAAAAAAATAAAATAAAAATAAAAATAAAACAAAGCAAAAACAACATTTATTTGTTTATTTATGTATAAAAAAAAATATACATGTACTTTGATTCATAAATAGACAAGTACATGAATATATATGTATATATATATATATATATATATATATATATATATATATATATATATATATATATATATATATATATATATATATATATATATATATATATTGTATAATGAAGAACGACCACTCTCTGTATAATATAGTGGTTGATTGAGTAATCAACCACTTAAAATCTTCTCGAACCAGAGGTCGCTTGACCTATTAATTCAGCAAAAATATAAAATGGAAAGATAAAAGAGGGAAAAAAGGATTAAAAAAATAAAAAACAAACCCAAAGCTATAAAGTACGATGATAAGTTTCTTATAACTAAAAATATAAAAAAATGGCGAGTTGTATGTAATGGTGACATTTTGTTAGTGATTTGTTTAGACAATAAATAATATATACACAAATAATATTTTAGTTTCTGCTATCAGCGCACAGCCATGGTAAAGAAAGTAAATTTATATTACTATATATTAAAACCCAGACCTCCAAATAACTTTAAAAAATAAGTATCAACTATAGAGTCAAACTAGGTTTTAACTAAATTTACTTAAATTTGAAAGTTTAGTTAAAATTTGGTTTTATTGCACTTAGTAGATTTTAAATATAATGGCACAAGTAAAAGCTAATAAAGATTATTTCAGGTTAATGAACTAGGCATAGGGTATGTGCCTTATATTTTAGGTAAACGAGAGATATACGCTGGACTTGACCAACTGTCTCAGAAAAAACATTTGGTGCATAGATACATTTTTGAAGCTTTATGTGTCTTTGTTAATGTGGTTGTGAATGTTTATTCAGGTGTACTCTTAAATGCTGTTCTGTTAATCTCTTGGTTGTATTGGATGTTAGCAGGAAGAAACTCTCAACGAATTGAAGATGTTTCTGGTAATCCGACTGAAAAATTTGTTTTGGGTGGCTTTTACAGCTATTATCTACTTTACCTGGATCATGAACAGCTTGAGTAGAACTGGATTGACATATATACTATTGTCTCATAATTTTATTAGCTGCACGGAAATACCTGTAATAAAACGTCGTTTTATTACAGATATTTCTGTGCAGCTAATAAAATTATGAGACAATAGTATATATGTCAATCCAGTTCTACTCAAGCTGTTCATGATCCAGGTAGAGTAGGTAATAGCTGTAAAAGCCCAAGACACACGTTTAACGTGTGTCTTGTTTACTGCTTTCATAGATAGTTATTTTGTTGTACACTTTGATACTTTTCTGCTGATCTGGTTTTGGTGTGGGGTGCTTGCATTAAGAACTTTTCAACAACAGGTCAACAAATCGGAGATGATCCGTGTAATCCGACTGACTGTTTTGTTTTAATTAGTTCTTTTAGCTTTCACTTACCATACCCGAACCCTGATCTGCACGAGAAGTATTGGGATTACCAATATCTAATTTTGCAGAACAATGTTTGAAAAAAAAAACTTTAGGAAAGCAGCAAAAAGTTGGTTCAATCAATCGATCGGTTCACCAACTGTGGCACCGCCAAACAAATTGATAAAGAAAGAGAAATTAGATTATCCATGGCAGCCTTTTTACAAGATGAAGAAATTACAAAAATATCTGTAAAAGTAAAAGAGAAAAGAAAAGAGCAGGAACAGGGGATAGAAGAAGATACGAGAACGGAAGTGAATGAAGCACTAGAGTTTCTGTCAAAAAATCTTAAAAAAAGAAAAAACATTTCTGAACGAGGATTCTATTGACATTTGAATACTTACTTTTGCTGAGTGTTTTCTGGAAATGGATAAAAAAGGGATTAAGGTTTTGAATTGTAAAGTAAAATGATAGACGCTTTTGAAGCATTTTTATGAATTAAAATACTTTTTAATAAACATGGGCTCATAAAAAAACCTTTATAAGTATTATATAATTATTTAAATTTGTTTTTGAATTATCTTTAACTTAATGGTAACTTCTGACTTGCATTTTTAACTTTTATTCCACACATCGGCTTCAGCTTTTGCCCTTTTTACAAATGGCGGACTATTGTTATAAACAAAAAAACGCGGATTCATTTTTTGTCCATGGACAAAAAATGATTGCAATAAAAAATTATTGCAATAAAATCCCGCAAGTTAGACACCTAGTTTATATAAATTGGGGAATGTTAAAAGGGCGGAAGTCCGATAGTGTAAACTTTTGGGAAACTGAAAAAAATTTTTTCTTTTTTCGAAGGTGAAAAACATTATCCTCTTTAAAAACAAAATTAATAAACCATTAACAAAAATTTACTACGAGGGAAAATGCAGTTTTATTTAGTTTCCCGAAAGTTTTCATAGTTGGACTTCGGGCCTTTTAACATTCACCGATTCATATAATATATCATTGCTCTAACCACATCATTTTCATCAATCAATCTCTATACACTTTTAACTACCAACTATATTTAACTACCAATTATATGCGATTGGTAAATGAAAGTGCAAATCAATGTATATGATATACATCTATTGAAATTTAATTCAAAAAGCATATTTTCAGTTGTTTCTGCTTTTCACCGTTTAACCGTAGTACATTTTTAGTAAACTATTACATGCGTTTAGTTCTGCTCAATCGCGTTGCAAGAACAGTCCACTTCAGTATCAAAAGTTTCAAAACTTGTTTCTTTTGTTCAATCAAGATATAGTAAGTAGCATGTTCATTTTTTATTTTGTAGCTGTTATCTTTAGGGTATATACTGTACGTTCCATAAGTTACTTTTGTGGTAGAATTAGTTAATATAAGTATAAAATAAGTATTCAGCACTTACTAGGCCATTTAGCAGTAACTTTTAGATTCAGTCCCTTAAGACTACCTCGTGCGCAATAAGTTCTACTAACTTTCTTAAAAGTATATTAGTGCGTATCTTTTTAAATGGGAGAGAGTTAGGATTTTTGGGTTCACAGTAGTATGCCCTATCAAATGTTGCAATATAAGAAGGCTTTGACGACGTAGAGGTTGGTTTTACTTGCTTGTTTTGAGGATGATACCCCGACGGGGTTTTTTAGGAATTATCATTAAAATATTCAAAAGTTCACATACCAGAGTATTGTGTCCTTATAAGGGTCGATATTATATCCATTTCCTGACAAGAATCTGGTATTATACTACATAATTTTCAATTCTAATCAACGCTGATATACTTTTATACTCTTTCTTTAAGTAAACATGCGCGCACTGTCTCTATTATAACGTATGTTTGTCTTTGTTGGTTTTAGTAATATTTCTGCTTTATTGTAGTACTTTTGTCTAATAAATTAAGTTATTTTATTTAATTGTATTGTTTATCACATTACAATTACCACAATGATGGCAATTATTACTAATTGTTTTGATTTGTGTATATTTATCTTAGGAATTCTTATATTTTTAATTGGATGTTTCCTATTTTTTGTCTGAGGCTGACGGGTTTGTGTTCCTTGGGGGTTCGCAGATTTGTTCTGTTTATCTCTACTTGAGAATACAAACTAAATGTAAAACAAATATTTTTACTAAAACGGTGGATATTTTTATAAAACAAGCTACTCTACTAAAATGGTACAAATTATAAATTATTAATATATCTGCATTAGTATAAAACAAATAACGCCATATTAAAGGGATCCCAAACTCCCAACACATGTTGTGTTCATATTAAAGATAATGTTAAAAAAAAAGGTTTGAACCAAATTTTTTGATTAAAAATAAATAATGAATGCATACCGTGTAAAACAAATGTTGTTGTTTTTGCCGAAGCTCGTCTTC